GAGTAAATCACATATCTGAGTAAATCACATATCTGAGTAAATCACATGTCACAAGCTTGTTTCAATGTCTCTCGAAAACTACCAGCAGATCCTCTACTACAAGTAGTCCTCGATTGCAGTTTTTTTAAAATAAAACCTCAAGCCATGTGATACAGACAAAATAGACTGATACCGAGTTAAGATTGTAGAAAAATCCCTTATTTTGGCATATTTCCCAAGCCAGTAATTGAATATAGTTCAGTAAGCTGATTCTACAGTCACATTTAATACTACCAACACAAAGCTTGATGCACTTGCAAAGCACATTAAGAATTTAGGCATGGTCCTAAGTTATACCTTGACGAATTTCTGTCTCTTAAAAATAATGAAGGATCATTATCAGAATGCAAATACGGCATGTACTCAATTCCCTAGTCCAGGTCCAGGAGCAAGTAAAGTTAGCCCAAAGTTTTTGGCCTAAACCTTTAGGACATATAGATGCATTAGTCACATTGAATACAACATGCAAAAAATACCCAACAGCTGCAAGTGCTGGAAATCAGAAACAAAAACAGAAATTGCTGGAGCAACTCAGCAGGTCTGGCAGTACCTGTGGAGAGACAGTTAACATTTTGGGTTCAGTGACCCTTCTTCAACAATATGCATACAAGTTTCAGAGCATCAAATCAAAACAAATTACTAATGTTTAAATTATTCTGTAGGGTCATACTGTTAACACATAAAGGGACATATTTTATAGTCACATATTACATTATGAACTGGGTTTAAAAGCAAAATTTGAACCTGCAAACTCTTTTGTATTGTCTGGGCATTCTTAGTGTGAGATTTTATGCAAAGATTCCTCGTACTTAATCTTTTCTTACAGCATGCCATGTTAGCTTGGCTGGTATCGTCATATTTATAGGTATTATAAGTTCCACACTATATAATCAAATGGTGTGCATAGGAAGGCTCACAGCATGTTGTTCCTTAATAAAAAGCTGTATTTCTGCAGCTTTTCAAAGCATGGTACAAAAATGGTATATAACACTGCAGGGATCAACATGCAATTAAAACCTCACTTTCTTAAATTTATCACATATTTGAAAAATACCTTCATGTGGGATGGGTTTTTACATATTTCAGCAATACTCATTACAAGTTTGGCAAACTTCAACTTACAGTTCTTAAGTTAAACCTACAATGAGAACTCTATTATATAGTTTACACAAGGCCAAAAAGGCCATTTGAAATCAGGGTTAATTGCGTTCTAGCATTTTTTTTAAAAAAACTTTCCTTTATTTGTCATTTTCCCTGTTGCTCCTAAAGGGATAGGTCAACAAGTGTTGGGCATTCTAGATGCACAAGCTTGAGAAAGTTGGCACACTCAACTAAAAGGCCCAATCTTATCCTATCCGCTGCGAATATATGTGCCTTTTAGCACGCTTCACTGTACAGCAATCAAAATCTGGCCAATCTTCTCTACAGTTAGCCCAGAGTCTGAGTTAGATTCCTTAATATGGAGAAAAATGTTATCCATGAATAATTCAGCTTTCCCATCCCCCAACGATATTTGAGGTGGCATTTCCCCTCAGTCATGATATTTTTCTGTCACAAGTCATCTGCATAACTCATACAAAAGATTGCAGAATTTAAAGCACAAATTCCACCGTTCACATCTAAGTTTCTACAATCTATTGTGCTAATTTTAGAAGTTAGAAAACATGGGTCCTGCCCAGAAAATTACCCAGGGTCCCAGAACCAACTAATCACCACTGGGTGTTCTATTTGTAAGCATTCATGGAAGTGCTCAAAAAAAATTATGTTGGTTTTTCTGAGCACATTGATAGCAATGCGCACATTATATAAAAAAATTGAAGGCATTTTTAATTTACTAGGAAAATAAGTACGGAACACTAATACAACTAGGAAATGGTTCTGAATATTTTTATAACAAACAGAAAGCTGGACGAACTCAGCAGGTCTGGCAGCATCTGTTGACAGAGAAGTAGAGTCAACATTATGAATCTGGTATTACTCTTCTTCAAAGCTGAAACATGTTGGAAAATAACTTTTTTTTTATATTTCTGAGAGGCAGAAGAGGGTTGGTGGTATAGAGACGCAATACAAAAGACTAAAGAGTTTTAATAGTGGAGAAAGAACAAAATGTAAAAGTGGTGCCAATTAAGGTGTGACAGGGAGAGAATGTAATCAGTTTCTGAAGTTACTGAATCCTTTTCCCCTACACCATCTCTCTAGCCACATATTTATCTGTTATAGCCCGTTATTTTTACTCCCACTAGCACGTAGCTCGGGTAGCAATCCTGAGATTACTACCTTTGGAGGTCCTTTTTTTTCATTCACAACCAAACTCTCCACATTCTTCTTGTAGGATCCCATCCCTTTTTTTCAAACTTATGTCTTTGATTCCAATATGTATCATGACCACAGGTTGTCAACCTTCCCAGCTTCTGAATGTCCACAAGCAGAATAGAGACATTCTTCACTGGGGAGCCACATACCATCCTGGAGTTTCTTTTGTGTCCATAGAAACGCCTTCCTGCTCCATTTACTATTGAAACCCCTCTCACTATAGATCTGTTACTCTTCTTCCTCCACTCATGCACCAGAGCCACCCATGGTGCCATGGATATGGCTTTTGCTGCTATCCCCTGAGAAGACATCTCCCACAGAAGTATTCAATATGGTACATTTGGTGGTGGCGGTGGTTGGGGTGGGGTGGATGTTGGGGGAGGGGGTCGCGGTGTGGGGAGAGGGAACAGCTACCGTGCACTCCTGCACTACTACCTGACTTCCTCAACTCTGCCTGCTGGTCACCCATTCCCTTTTTGCCAACTCAGTTCCTACTTGTGGTGTGGCCACCTCATTGAATGTGCTGTCCAAGACAATCTTAGCATCACAGATGTTTCAGAGATGGACTCACTTGGGAACCTGGTTAACCAGTAGCTGCAGCCAGACAAATCTCCTGCATACAGGGTCACCAGAGACACTGGAAATGGCCATGACTTCTCACACAGTGGAGGAGGAGGAGCAGATCATGGGTATGAGCTCCAGCGCCATAACATCTCTTTAGATTAAGCTTGTTAGTTACTCCCTTTAAAAGAATAATCATTATGCTAGGGACCTTATTTCAGTCCAAACACTCCAGCTGTGATGCAAGTACTTTGGAGATCTTACTATCGCTACAGCATGGGAATCAAATCTGACAAAAATCTATAACTGAAATTGAAGGCGTAGTAACACAATAAAGCATATATATTAATAACTAAGTTCACCACTTGCTGTTTAAAAAAAGTGAGTTTCCAAACGAAGCAGTTGAGACACCTGCCCATTCTGTAACTTGTGTTTCATGTGATCAGCTAAGCTGTGACAAGTTTACCTTGTCACTGCTGATTAAATACTTATAATTACTTACATGAAAAAGTTTTATTTTGTCCAATCAGAAAATTAATTTTAAATCGCAGTCTTCACTAAAAAAAAAGATGCTGCCATGCCATATCAAATGAGAACATTCAGAAACACCGGCAAACAGAAGAAATAATAAGACAATGTAAGTCAACCTAAAGAAAAGTTCTAAAAACTTTGGCATTTGCAGTATTAGTTATCAGTTATGTTATCTTTATGATTATAACGATAAAACAATTTTAGCAATTCAACATAGAAGTGTATGGAGTAAAAGCATTGTGCCATGCATCTGACAAATAACACCACTCAAACACAGAAAATCCGAAGATATTCCCTTGACTTTCAATGGATCACAAATGCCAACCACTACCCCTCCACCTTACCACCCCACCATTAACACCCTTGGGGTCACCGCTGACTGGAAGTTTCATTTGACCAGTCCTGCTGATATCATGGCTACAAGAACAGATGAGAGAAACCTTGTGGTAAGTGCTTCAGTGACTCTTCCATGCGTTATTTAAATTGGGAGTAGTCACCTGGTACAGCTACGTCAACCAAAAAGTTTCAACGGCACCCAGGACAATCTAGCTCTTGCTAGTGAACTTTCAGAGAGATTCCAATATATATTATCTGAAACATGAGTATGGCAAAACATCAAGCATATTTCACCAACAACTTTTACCACATAAAATCATCAGAGCAGTAAAGAGTAACCACTAGAACTAAACTCCCTTCAATCCCACACACTTAGCTTTGCAGTTTCTTCCTCATCGTTGGTCCAAACTCCTACCATCCCTAATTAGCTACCATTTCCAACACACAGTCAAGCTTTTAAATCCTGTAATAAAGTCTCACCACAATACCATCTTTCTTTCAAAGAAAATAGAGCTCACTTTTAAATCCACTGCATAAAGATATCTATCTTTACTACAGGTTTCTACTATAAAGTGGTTCAAGCTTCAGTTTTCCTGTTTTACTTCTAGAGTGTGAAGATGCATACCAGGTCATGGTATGCCTTTAGAAGACCCAACTTACACTAGGCCTATAAGTAGTGGCTACTCAAAATTCCTAGAGTTATCCAGGAATGTCCGAAAAACAATTCCACAACATTCCTTTCCCTGTACTTCCAGAATAACACCAGTTTTCTAGCTTCAACCAAGTGGAACTTGCATACTTACATACGTTGCATAGCTTCCAATAGACTACATTAATATTTGGCACAAAAATTAGAAAACAATTTTAAAATACTACTTTACAAGAAGAAACAGCATTTGTTTCAAAATTTGAATACTAGATATAGTACAAAAATGTTGTGCAGCGGCTGCTTTTTCAAATGGGAGTATAAATTATCATTGTCAAAATGCAGTTATTGCCTTCCAGGAATAATTCTAATTCCCATTCAGAAACCAAATGGAAACTACATTGCTGATGATTTTCTTCAAGTATTAGATTTGTTTGATTTTCACAATGTAATAAATGGCTTTTCCTAATATGTTGGCTGACATTAGAATGAACGTCAGATTTATCAGGCTTTCAAGCACTCACCTGTTTCTGCTCCTTCAACTTGCTCTGCCACCGTTCTCGTCTCCGTTGTTTCCTTTTCAAACTTTTAAGTTTATTTCTTTGTCTTTTATTCAGTGCTTTCCCACTTAGAGTAGATATTACAGGAACGTGTGGAGGTGATTCATTGCAAGGATTGCTCGTGCTTCCATCATGCCCTTCCTCCCACTCTTCTATGCAACTTGCTTCAGTACTCGAGTCAGATGACCAACTTCTAAGAGTTGAAGAAACATTGGTAAATTTGCTCCTGCAATGTCTTGGTGTAGACGGTCCAGGATCTAAACTTTGTGCTTCTACAGGACCATTACTGAACGATTGAGAACATGCCATAAAATCAGATTCTCGACTGCACTGACTCTGAAATGCGGAACTAATGGACTGTTCAGATGCAGGCTGCTGCAGATTAACATCATCTGCCAATGGAAACTGTCTAGGATTAGCAATCTCACCTAGGTGATGCATTATAACTCCACAGGAAGATGATCGTGAGCACAAGCCATGCATGCTAGTAAAACTAACAGATTCATTCTTTGAGTTTGTGCTGCTAAAATCCACACTGACAGACTTTTTATGAAAACCGATCAATGTACATCTGGCTCTGGGAGGCTGTGAAGCAGAAGAGCTTGGCTGTGGATAAGCTTCTTTGAAGTGAAATTCATTGCTGTCAACTTCTACCATTCCTCGAGTGCGTGATCTTGCCTCCAGGCATAGTGCTTCAGTTATTCTTTCACGATCCATTTTTCTCGAATAGTGTAAAAAATCTTTAAGCATGTTGTTGGACACAATGTTTTCTGTCCCATGCTCCACGTTTCCTACAGTTTCTAACTTGCAAATGCGTTGCAGTTTCAGAAGAGATTTCACCTTTGCCGACTCAATGATTCTGATTAAACGTGGTGCTTCATAATCAGTACGACTCTTACAAATATGTACAGTCACTGCTTGCCCACAAGGGCATTTTGCATTGCTGATAAAGTTAAAATCTCCTAGGCGGGCCCCACAATATGGGCTGTTCAGTTTTCCAATTGTCCACCATGACTATGGAAAAGAAACAGACAACAATCTGGTCATTGTAACAAAAAGAAAGATTGGGAAACAGGCCACATCAACTCTTTTATACAATTCACAAGGTCAGCTTTTCTTTTCTGTGTGTAGAGTGGAATCTAGTACAACACAGAAAAACCAACACAACAGTAAGGCCGAGACACCTGACGTAGCAGATTGTGTTTTTTTACAATGTAAAATGTAGCAGCAGACTTTAGAAATACACGTTGTCATTGATATTAGTATTATTCAGCAAAGCCCGAAAATTCCACGCTATTTCATGTCAAATTTAAAAGAAAAGTATAAAGACGCCACCTTCAACTAAGAATAATATAGTGGCTTTATGAAGACCAACCAATATCCATATGTATGCAAATCAGACCAGACTGTAGGAGTACAGCATATATTTTCAATAAAATCCCAAATGTAAACCTACAAAGCACTAAAAAAAATTAAATTGTTGTATGGCTTCATTGTTATTTCAGCATCCTCTGAAAAATATTAAATATCATTGAAAATAATTGTGAGTTGGTCAAGGCTAACACAATTTGTTATTTTCCATCCATTTTAGGCCGAAAGAAACATCCTCATTTAGTTAAAAATGGGACAAATTACATCCTATCACATTTGTCACAATATGTCCTGTAAATTCTAATTTACATCCTTTTCCAGCCTAAATAGAACTTTTACTGTAAAGCTTTGTGTTCTCAGCCATAATTTAGATGTTACAAAGATTTGATCAAAATAAAGCCACTTTTATGGAATTAAATAACTCTATGAAAGCTCTGAACAATAACACTTGTGGAAAAGAAGCTCTCAGTATTGTTCATGGAACATAATTCAAAACGGTCTGTGAATAGCCTTTAAAAATAATTAAAATTCATCAGTTGTCATTAATGGGGTTCTGTCACTGTGCTATGGAAGGAGAATGCATACAAGGCAAATGCAAAAACTACATCTGATTATATCATGTACAATAAATAGGGTCTCAATATGATAAAAGGATTTCTTTTAAATGCCAAAGACTTTTCAAGAGCATAAACCCCTTCAATACAAACAGTCATAAAAAAAAAGTTTTGAATTATAACGGCATGGTGGCTCAGTGGTTAGCACTGCTGCCTCATAGCACCAGGGACCTGGGTTCAATTCCAACTGTCTTTATAAAGTTTGCACATTCTCCCTGTGCCTGCGTGGGTTTCCTCTGGATGCTCCGGTTTCTTCCCACAGTCCAAAGATGTACAGGCTAGGTGGCCATGTTAAATTGCTCATAGTGTCCAGGGATATGCAAGTTAGATGGATTAGCCATGGATAATACAGGGTTACAGGGAGAGAGTAGGTGAGTAGTCCAGATGGGATGCTCTTTGGAGAGTCAGTATGGACTTGTTGGGGCGAATGGCCTGTTTCAACATTGTGGTGATTCTGTGATTCTACAATTTGTATCCTCTCACTGGAAGAGACCTCTGCACTAAATCTGCAGTAATCCTAACTTGGCTGATGATGTATGCAGGGAAGTTACCAGCAGAGAATCGAACTGATAATGTGGAGCACTCTGCTCCTGGAAAACGAAATTCTGCGTCAGATGAAGTGTAGTTCTTAAATGGTGTATAAGGGAGCCAAGATTTTATTTTTAGTTCTAGAAATAATTCTCTTTGAACCACAGAAATTCACTGACAAGGTATAGGAGCATTACAAGGAAGATACTATGGAATTCTTCCTCCAATATGCTTGTCAGTAGTATTACATCTGATGCCCACGAGCCTAGTCTTGTGTTGGGGTGCAGAAACTTGTAAATGTGACTCCTTCACACCCTTGTATTCAATTTGGTTTTATGGAAGGGGAGCTTCCAGAAGTGTCGTAACAAGATACACCCTTGTTTCCAGAGGCAAGCAGAGTAAAATTCCCACATTATCTGCGCAATGTTTGGGTCTGAGGGACTTTGGGAGGTTGTAAGCATAAAACACTCACAGGTCTTTAGTGAGGGAGGTCAAAGTATCAACAATTCAAAAGATCTGGGTTCCAACTGTGGGGAAAAAAAAGAAAGCAGAGTTAATGTTTTGCATCCAGTGACCCTTCTTCAGAGCTGATTGTAGCTGGGAAAACGGTTGATATATATACTGAAGATGGGGTGGAGGGAGGAGGAGGACTAAATGACAGGTGGAGATGAAGCCCATAGAGAGAACAACAGACAAAGGAACGGGTAATGGTCATCCTGAGAGAATCAACAGCTGCTAGTAGGAACCATTGGTAGTTGACAATGGGATGGTTATGGTAGCAGTCCAATGTGTATGGGAGTTGGGGGTAAGGACATGTGCAAAGATACTCAAGCCCTAAAATTATTGAACTCGATAGTGAGTCCTGAAAGCTGCAGTCTCCAAGAGGAAAACAATATGCTGCCCATTTAGCTTCCATTGAGCTTTGCTGCAACACTGCAGCAAGCCAAACACAGAGATGTTGGCCAGAAAACACAGTGGTGTGTTGAAGTGGCAGGCAACTGGAAGCTTAGGGTCATTTTTGTGGACAGAATGCCACCCTGTCTGCATTTCGTCTCCCCACTGTAGTGGAGATCCCACTGTGAGCAGTGAATACAGTAGACTAGATTGATTGAAGTGGAGGTAGATCGCTGCTTCTCCTGGAAGATGTGTATTGATCCTCAGTGAGAAGAGAGAAGGTAAACAGGCAGGCGTTACACCTTCTGCAATTGCATTTCCATTCCCCATCATGATGGTCTAAGGGCTCTCCATTTCTTCTTGGAACAAAAAAAAGTCTGAACCATCTCCATCCACCACCACTCTGCCTGGTCAAGCTCATCCTCATTTCAAACAACTTCTCTTAACTCCTCACACTTTCTTCAGGTCAGAAGCATGGCCAAGGTTACCTGCATGGGTGCCAGTTAACCTTGTCTCTTTGTGGGGTAGGTGAAACATTCCTTGTGCCAGTCCTACTGTGCACCTCACACACAACTCTCTGTCCACGATATCAATGACATCATCGGTGCTGCTTCCCTCTCTCATCTGGAATTGGAAAGGTTTACCAATTTTGCTTTCAATTTCCATCCTGCTCTCACCTTCACTAGGTCCATCTCTGACTCCTCCCTTTCGTTCCTCAACATCTACATTCCCATTTTTGGGGAAGGTCTGACCACCAAATATCCACTATAAAACCACCAATTCCCAGAGTTACCTTGACTATACATCCTTACACCCTGCTTCCTGTAAACATCTATTCTATTATGTCACAGTTTCACCGTCTCAGTCGTAACAGTTCCAGTGATGCCTGCTTCTCTAAGGGGGCCTACAAAATGTCCACCTTCTTCCTCAAACAAGGATTCGCTAGCCCTGTTGTTGACAGGACTTTGAGCAGTGTCTGATCCATCTCCCACACTTTGATCCTCACCCCTTCTCTTCTCTCCCACAACAGCGATGAGGGTCCCCCTTGTCCTTACCTACCGTCCCAGCAGCATCCACACCAAATGATCATTAGCCACCATTTCTGCTACCTCCAGTGAAATGATACGACCAGACACACATTCCCCTCCCCTTCCTTGTCAGCCTTTCGCAGGCACCGTTCCCTCTGGAATACCCTGGTCCACTTCTCCTTCACTCCCAACACAGCCCACAGCCTCAAGGCACCTTCCCATGCAATTGCAGAAGATGTAACACCAGCCTGTTTACTTCTTGCCTCCTCATTATTCAAAGCCCCAAACACACCTTTCAGGTGAAGCAACGATTTACCTGCACTTTATTCAATCTAGTCTATTCGCTATGAGACATCAGAATATGGTCTCCTCTACGCTGGGGAAATGTAGATTGGGCGACTGCTCCACCAAACACCAATGCTCTTTCCGCAAAAAAGACCCTGAGCTTCTAGATGCCTTGCACTTCAACATACCACCTTGTTCTCTGGCCAGCATTTGTGTCTCAGGCTTGCTGCAGTGCTCCATCAAAGCTCAGCGCAAGCTGGAAGAACAGCAGCTCATTTTCCTCTTGAGAACTCTGCAGCCTTCTAGACTCAATATTGATTTCAATAATTTTACAGCCTGAGCACCCTCTTCCATTTCCTTACCCCAAACCCCACACACCAGACCATGCCACGTCATGGGCTGCGACCACAACAATCCAATTTTCAGATAATAATGGTCCCAATTAACCGCTAATTTGCCCAGGCTGACCTTTACTTATTCCTTTTCTGTCCAACTGTTGTTCTCTCTCTCTTGCATGCACTGGGCTGCATCCCTACCTTGACTAACCCTATCGCATGTAGTTGCACAGGGGATGCCAAAAGTTGGTAGAAGGAAGTTTCCTTACAAGGAATGAAGTTAAATTGAAGGTAAAATAATGCAAGCTGAAATAATCTAAACTTCTCAAACAGCAGCATATAATTTTTTAAAAAATCAGATCCTTATATTAATGATTTACTGTCACAGCTGTACAGCACGGAAACAGATCCTTCGGTCCAATTCGTCCACGCCGACCTGATATCCTAAATTAATCTAATCCCATTTGCCAGCATTTGGCCCATTTCTCTCTGAACTCTGAGATAGTAGGAACTGCAGATGCTGGTCAATCCGAGACAACAAGGTGCAGGGCTGGATGAACACAGCAGGTCAAGCAGCATCATAGGAGCAGAGAGGCTGACATTTCGGGCCGAGACCCTTCATCAGAAAAGGGGGAGAGGAAGGGGGTTCTGAAATAAACAGGGAGAGAGTGGGAGGCGGATAGAAGATGGATAGAGGAGAGGATAGGTGGAGAGGAAACAAACAGGTCGAAGAGGCGGGGATGGGGCCAGTGAAGGTGAGTGTAGGTGGGGAGTTAGGGAGGGGATAGGTCAGTCCAGGGAGGAC